CCATTTTTCACACAAGGTCACACAAATTCCGTAGCCGGCGTGACTAAACCAATATTTTTCTTCTTTTCATAACTGAACTGGAAGGTTTTTAACTTAACCAACTAACTAAGATTTTAATTTAAGATTTGCTTATTCATGAATAAAACGAATAAAATACTTGCCATTTTTTTGCGGCTGCACATTTGTTTACCTGTAACTAATCTCAAAATCCGTGTCCAACTGCTAGTAACTAACTTAATCGTAATTAACATTTCTGCAAAAATAACAATTTATTCTTATACTGTACCTTAGGTCGCAAGCTGAGTCCCACACCGCATCCTCATCGCTTGGCTCCCGAGGTCCATGCTGATCGCGATGAGGGCATCTCGGACGAGGATGATCCCGCCGAGCTGAGAATTCTCTTGGAGCTTAACGAACAGGAGGCCTCGATCCTGAGACTCAAGGTGGAGGATCTGGAGAAAGAGAACGCCGAGTCCAAAAAGTACGTGAGGGAACTGCAGGCCAAACTCCGCCAGGACAGTTCCAATGGCAGCAAGTCCTCGCTTCTCAGTCTCGGGACCTCGTCCAGTGCGGCCGAAAAGAAGGTGAAGACGCTCAACGAAGAGTTGGTCCAACTTCGCAGGACACTTGTCGAAAAGGAGCAGTCGGTGGACTCACTCAGGAATCAGCTAAGTAAGCTGGACACACTTGAAACCGAGAACGACAAGTTGGCCAAGGAGAACAAACGGCTGTTGGCGCTGCGGAAGGCAAGCGAGAAAAATGGGGAGGTGGATCAAAAGATGAAGGAGTCCTTGGCACAAGCTCAACGGGAAAGGGATGAGCTGACGGCTCGCCTCAAACGGATGCAGCTGGAGGCGGAGGACAAGCTGCCGCCTCGCACCGCCAAGAGGGTAAACGACCTGACGCCCAAGAGCCATCTTAGGAAGTGGGTAGAGGAGCTGGAGGATGAGATCAGCGAAATGCGCGTCATGCTCAGCTCCGGCGGTGCCGATCAGCTCAAAGCCCTGCAATCGGCCAAGGGAGCGCTGGAGGAGGACTTGCGGAAATGTAAGCAAAAACTATCCCTTGCCGAAGGCGATGTCCAGCGGTTGAAGCTCCTAAACGGATCTAGCAGCAAGGTTAGCGAGCTGGAACTAAAGCTGAAACGCGGAGATGAGGAAGCTAAAAAGCTCAACTCTAAGGTGAAGGACTTGGAGGACAAGGTCAAGAAGCAGGAAACGAGCAAGTCCACTTGGGAATCGCAAAGCAAGCGGGAAAAGGAGAAGCTGTCCAGCCTAGAGAAGGACATGGACAAGCAGGCCAAAGAGAAGGAGAAGCTGGAGGCCAAGATCAACCAACTGGATGCCGAGCTACTAAGTGCCAAGAAGTCGGCCGAAAAGAGCAAGTCCAGTTTGGAGAAGGAGATCAAGGATCTCAAAACCAAGGCCAGTAAATCGGACAGCAAACAGGTGCAGGATCTCAAGAAGCAAGTGGAGGAAGTGCAGGCGTCACTCAGCTCCGAACAAAAACGGTACGAGGAACTTAACAACCACTGGGAGAAGCTCTCCGAGGAAACAATCCTGATGCGGGCCCAACTCACCACCGAGAAGCAGAGTCTCCAGGCCGAACTGAACGCCAACAAGCAGAAGATCTCCGAAATGGACACCATACGCATCGAGCGCACCGACATGGCGCGGAAACTGAGTGAGGCCCAGAAGAAGATCGCCGATCTCCAGGCCAAGGCCCTCAAAACGGTCAATGGCAACGGGGCCGAGTACGAGCGCACCGTCCTCAAAAACAAGCTGACGGAGAAGGAGCACGAATATGAGCGCCTGCGCCGCGAGAACGAGATGAACATCGACCTGGTCTTCCAGCTGCGCAAGGATAACGACGATCTGAATGGCAAGCTCAGCGACTATAACAGGATTGAGCAGGCGCAATCCTCGCTAAATGGACACGGAGCGAGGCGCGAAGCAGAGATCAGGGAGCTCAAGGAACAGTAAGTTGATGTTTATTATACTAGTGTGACAGATCTTAAATAAATAGACTCTACTTATAGATTATACAAAGAAATGTAAGATATTAAACTACATTTATTGAATTCGTGATCTTTATACATTACAGATTACAGAGCACTGAACTGCAGATGAAATCCGAAGTGGCCACAGTCAGACTTCGCTATGAGCAACAGGTGAAAAACCTGAGCGGAGAATTAACCTCAATGCAGGTAAGAACTAAATAAATTCAATACAGAATTTACAAATAATAATATCCTTGACACAGCGCCAGTGTGAACGTTTCAAAAAGGATCGCGATGCCTTCAAACAGATGCTGGAAGTGGCCCAGAAGAAGATTGGTGACCTCAAGGCCAACAACACCGGAAGACAGAGTCGCGGCTCCATGCACAGCAGTGATGATGATGATAAGAGCAAGATTGCCTACCTTGAACAGCAGGTTTGAAATCAGTGAATTTAAAACCTGCAGTACAACGCTAATAGATGTTTTCGATTGCAGATTGGTCATCTAGAGGATCAGCTGGTCGAGTCAAGGCTTGAGTCCAGCAAGATAAAAACGGAACTCGTATCCGAGCGCAGTGCCAATGAGATCAAGATATCGGAGATGCAGTCGAAGCTCAACGAGTTCGAGGAGGAACGCGTCATCGGCTCGGGCAGCACCAAATTGCCGGGCATGAAGACCAAGCTGGAGCTGTCCTGGCAGAAGGAGCGCGAGGATCAGCAGCGACTGCTGCAGGAAACCTCCACCCTGGCGCGTGACTTGCGCCAGACCCTCTTCGAGGTGGAACGGGAGCGAGACAAGGAGCGGCTGGAGTCGAAGCGCAAGCTGGACCAGATCAAGCGGGCCACCGAAGAGGAAATGGAGGAGGGACGCAAGAAGATCGCCGAGCTGCAGTGCGATCTATTGGAGCTCCGGGACGTACACGCAAAGCTGCGAACCTCCAACGAGAAGCTCAGACGAGAGGTGGGTGTATTGTGAAGTATGAAGTATAGGTTTACTTAAAGAAATGTAAACCAATTCAGTAACTAAATATTTTACCATTTATGACCTACGACCCAGAAAAATACGTCATAATTCCAAAAACTATTCAGTAAAAGAATTTTCTAAAACAAAAAAGTTACCGAGCCTAACCCCAGGTGGGACTTGAACCCACAATCCCCGGCTTAGGAGGCCGATGCCTTATCCATTAGGCCACTGGGGCTTGCGTAACTGACCTTCAACAATCTTACATACTCGTGTATTTAAGGACAAAAGAGACAAAACATTTATCTTATGATGAGCTAGTTACCAGTATTTTTATCTTTCTCGGTGTAGTTCTGCATTAGTATCTTCAGCATCTGCTCAATTCCAAATCTCTAGCTCTTACAGCTCCCGAGTTCCGACGCTCCTTCAAACGGACGGACAGAAAAAGATAAAGGGCCATCTTCTCATTCTCATTCTTATGACTGACCTTGTAAAAATAAAATCATGTCATTACAAGTTATAAATATATGTATTCTGATATTTAATTCCAGCGAGAACGCTACGAAAAAGAGCTGATTAAGCGACGCATGGAGGCAGATGGCGGAGACCGTAAGGTGGGCGCCCTTTTGCAGACCGTTGACGAGCTAGTGAAGATAGCTCCCGACCTGAAAATGGTCAGCGGAGGATCAGCTCGAAGCAGCAGCAACTCCGGCTACGACAAGAACTTGCGGCCGGAGCAGCCGAATGTGCGCCGCAGTCGCTCGCCTTCGCCCACCCTGAGCAGTTCTCAGATCACCAGTGTCTTGGCCAGACTGGCAGAAGCCTCCGAGGAGCTGCGAAAGTTCCAGCGTGTGAACGAGGACGAGCAGGAGCGGAGCCGGATGAGAAGGAGCAATCTGCGTCGGGCTGCTTCGCAGGAGAACGACCCTCATGGCAGCACCAGTTCGGTGGCAAGTGCAGCAGGATCGCAGCGGGGCGGTGGACGTTTGTCGCGGAACTCGTCCAACAATGGTAGTCTGATTCGGAAGAGCCTCTCCCTGGATCACTCCATACAAAGAGATCAGGTACGCAAAACTGTTGCATTCAAGTTAGTTTTTGTGAAATACAGAATTGAAGTAAAACATTGAGATCACATGAGCCCATTTTAATACTTCTATTTGCAAACAACTTTGATACAATATTTTGCAGAATATTTGGCGCCAGGACGATGGCAGCGTGTCATCCATGCAATCCATAGACTCTGAACTTGGCGGCCTGGTCAGGGACTCCAGCTTGGACTCACGCCTGGACTCGCGGCTATCCGGTGGATCCACTCAAAGCGACCTTCCTCGAGGACCTCGCAAGAAAAAGAAGGGCATCATAGGCAAGCTGCGCAGCCTGACCAAAAGCAGTCGCAATTCCGAGAGTGAAATTTCTGTGAGAATTGGCCAGCCTCAACTAAAAGCATTTAAATGCTAATGTATTTCTGTATGTTTGCAGATTCAAGGATCTGACTCGGACATCAGCGTTGCCAGCGACATGAGATCCAGCAAGAAGGATCTTCGCGGCCGGCTCTCCGGCATGTTCAAGCGCTCCGGATCCGCCTCTCGCAGCGAGAGCATGGAACGAGCCGGATCCGACCAGAGACCCGTGGCCGTGACCGTAGTTGGACATCCCGATGGACCGCAACCGCGCGAGCCGCCGCCTGCCAATTCCCTTACACCCAGACCCATACGTTCTGTAAGATGTGAAGATTGTAACTAAGATCACGTCGGATGCTAAATGATTATCCATTACAGATACCCAAGCCACCGAGCGCTGGAGCACCCACCACACCAACCACAAGACGACGCGTAGCCAAGTAGTCACCATCGGTTAATAGGTTTCAATCTCATAGGATTCATTCTAATAGTAGCTGTAGACGTTCGAATAACCCTCGCTCTCATTGGCTTCCGAATTGCAATCGTTTCTCATGCCAGGTCATTATAATTATTTGTTGTTTTAAATAGTTTAATACATTTTTATTTGAACACTCCGCCGAATAAAGTCATCTTTTTCAAATAATTCATCCGTTTCTATTTCTATGTGGAATAAATTTGAAGTATTTATTAGATTTATTGGCAAGGGGAAAACCTACATTTATGTAAACCAGTCCAGCGGATAGTAAGCCCATGAGAATCGGACATGCCGCATAGAAATGTGCCCACTTTGTGGGCGGACTCTCCAAATGGGCACAGAAGTAGGTCACGGAACTGAGAAGGAAAAGGACAACGAGCTCCAACATTGGGATCTGGAGAGGATTTCTCTGATTCCAGACAGGAAATTCCAATGCTTACGAATATTTCTTTTGAATTTAGCTGTCATTCCGATTTCGAATGACACAAATATATGTACGTATTTATCAATCCCAGGAATTATCGATCGGCACAAGACTTAAATAAAAAGAGTGAGTGACATTTATTCTATTTACTTGCAATTTATGTATATATTCAAAGTATTTTGTTTTGCTTAAAACTTGTTTTACTTTCATGTTTTGTTTGCTTTTTTTTACACACTACATTAATTTTGTTCGTTAAATATAATTTCAAAATGTATAATTAATTTGTTGTAATTTATTTATTGTTTTTTACTCCTTTTGTATTTGTGTGTTCTTTCTCAAATGATTTCAACGCAAAACAATTTAGTTAAAAACCTTTGTTCGGGGTTTTCTAATAGACCAATCCAATGTGCAAACGAAGGGTTACAAGTTTCGATTTGATGTCATTTTGAGTACGTGGCATGTTCAAATAAATCAAATCTATTGACTGAATAGCCCTTTAAGGATACAGGATAAAGGATACAGTATACAGGATACACGGAGTAAGGGAGGATATATGTATGTATGTGGCTTGTACGCAATTCCAGTGCGAGAAACGAGACGTATGTAGGGGGTACGTTGCATTATTTATTTGTTTAGTAATTTGTTATTACTTAGCGCTTTTGCGGCTCATGTTTGCTTGTGTTACATTTATACATTTATGCGAATTTGTTTGGGGATTAACTTCTGATCGGTTTTCTTCTTCAGCTTTCGTTTCCTGTTCTTGTTCTTCTTCTCATAGTTAGTGTGTGTGTGTGTGAGTGTGTGTCTTTGTCTGCGTTTGTGTCTTGCACCAGAACTTGTATATTTATAAACTTTTGTATGCAATGTTTATTGTTGGCTTATTTAGTTGCTGAATTTTCTTTTGTCGCTCGAATGCTGTTCGGTTGTTTTAAAAGTTGTTCGATTAAGTGTTTAGCATTATTAGTAACAATGTCCTTACTTGCGGCTCTTATTCTCGTTTTGTATGTTTTAAATCCTTATTTCCTTTTTATTTTTTTCGATTTTTGTTTTGATATTACTTAGGCACTGTGTTCGTATTACATTAAAGAATTAATTTAAAATTTAAATTTAGGTATGTATAAATACATTGTAAAAAATTTCTTTAAGTTTACCGTAAACTAAAATCTTGCAACGCTATATGTATTTCATTTTCAAGTTCTCCTTGGTACTCTCAATATTTTCCTTTGTTGATGTCCTTGTATGTATCTATGTATGTAAGTTAAGTTCAGTTAAATCCTGACGTCATTGTTAATTCTTAAGCACTGTACCACGATCGCCACGAGCTGCCATCAAATGCTAATGTTAAACTCCTATTTATTCCCTCACCATCACCATCTCGCATCTAAAAGTACGTGTAGAAAAGTCTATGAAATTATGTCAAAATGAAAGCTTGGAAAGTGACAAAACGTAGCTTCCTCTCCAGTTTCCCTTCAAGTTTCCGTTTCCTTACATACCCAAGTCGCAACACTTATATGCCTAAAATCGTTACAATCTGGTTTACAAGTAAGTCCTATATATGTATATGCAGTTTTAGGAGGTTTCTATGTGTCTCTGGGTTACTCGTACCTAAGTACAAATAACTTTTTCAGTATCAGTTTTAGATTCCAGTTTTCTTTGTTTCTGTACGTAAAAAATTCAAATTCATCGAAAGTTCTCTTTTTGGCTAACATACGCTTTGTTCTTCGTCATCTTGATTCTGTTCCATTTATCTCTTAATTTGTTGACTTGTAAATTTATTTTAAGTAGTCTACTTGATTTTATAAAATCAACTAAAACGAGGAAATCAAATGTACAGAGTTGGCTAGGACAGTAACTTAAAAGAATGCAATTTGAGTGCAATTTCCGTGTGAACAAAAACCTTATACGAACTTATTTCGGTAGCCTATTCATCAGTGATTTATTCGAGTTACGAGTTGTAGTTTCGTGTTTAAGCCTTTTTCTGTTCAACACTGTCTCGTTTTAAGCTTCTCCATTACCATTATGTTGCCTTTTCGTTAACAGTCTCAATTTTGTTGTTTTTTTTTGCGATTTGTTTTATTTTGGTTATTTTGCTTAGTTTTCCTCTTTTTTTTCTGTGTTTTTCCATATTTTTGTCTATTTTGTATTTATTATTATCGTTATTAACTACATACAAATTAGTTTTTGTTCACTATTCTCTGCATTTGTTACATTTTAAAATTACCATATACATACCTCGTTTCGAATTTTTGCTTAAGAACGAACGAAAGTCGGGCTTTAAAAGGGATGAGTGTGCTGTCGTTTAACTTAGTAATACATCATTTGTCTCATAACTTGCAGGCATTAACAATTACCACTCATTGACTGCTCTTAACCGAGTACGAATTTCATCCTACACAATGATCGGGAAACTTTTACGATACTTTTACGATTGGAACGGAAATCATAAAAATGAATTAAATTCATATACAGCTACAAAACATGCCACCCACATACATGTGTACATATGCCTGTTGATCTTTAATCTTATTGATTTCATATCATTTTGTTTATTTGGTTGGTCTTCTACCTCTTGTCCTATATAAATTTAGTCATTACAAAAAGGTGTCTTAGGTGGAATCGTTTTGTCTTAGGAATTTAGCTTAGATATCTGTTAAACCTCATCTTATTTCAAATCATTCTAGTCTTTAATCGCTAAGTGTACTTCATTACATAAAAACAACTCTCGTTTTGAGGGATTAGAAAAGCCTGGGAGGTCTCGGGGGTATGGGAAAAAACACATTCAAAATTCTAGCCTTCTGGCGTTATCAGAAGTGTACCAAGTTTTGTGTTCAAAAGATGTTCTCTTATTTTAACTACGGGAACCAGTCGGTATCTCCGATTCGTAAACAAATTCGAGAAAACTTAAGATCGAAAGCATTGATAAGTATTATTTAAGTTCATTTCTCTCTTCACCTAGAGCTATTTGTTAGGCATATACGTACGTAGAGCTATACAATGTATACAAAAACGCATTCTTTTCAGTGATTTTGGTTTGCATTTGGCGCATCATTCGTATGTTAGCTTATCAATATGTTAAATAATATAACCCTTACATTATTGTTTCATTCGTGGTTCCTATTATCTCTTCACTCGAAACGCCTAAACGTCGAAAAACCGAAACCAATCTGATAAAAACAAACGCAACAATAAAAAGGCAACGCAAACGTTTGTTAAGCTGTATAAATCAAAACACAAAGGACACACAATTCTCGATAATAATCAATCATCGCGATTTTGTCATCCCGTCATCAATTGGCCAATAAGAAAACCAACAATAATGAAGGAACAGAAGCCATATACACAAAATGACATCAAATGGGAACGAAAAACTAAAGGAAATAATCCGATAAAGGTGTTATTCCGCTACTCTGGTGATTGTGAATCCTCCGGATGTCTGGACATGTCGACTTCCTTCACCTATGTTGCACTTGGACTTTTGCTGCAACGTTCTTTTGCTCAGTGTATTCATGTGTGTGGGTGTGTGTGCTGACAAACATTTACACTTAATTTTAAATTCTCTTTTTTTCGTCTCTGCTTTAGCTTGAAAGTGCAACACTTTGTTTAATACAATATTTAAATTTATTTTACCGTTAAATCGTTATATGTTATAATTAATATGTATATAGTATATATAGTTGTATATAGTAGGTTTATTCATATATATTGTTGTTTGTTTATTACGTTTACGATGCACATATATTGTATGTAGTTCATTTGAATAGGTTTTTACGTTTATGTTAATAAAAAAACAATCTATGTTGTATTCAACTTTAAAATAGAGGTTCGAAAAATGAAATTGTTTTACAATTAACAGTCAGTGTATCTGTTTTGTCTTCTAAAAAAGTGTCTAATCGCTCGAATTAGTTAATAATTTCACTTCGACCTCCACTCAATCTTAATTCTTTTCAATTTCTAATCTGAAATTGGTTATATCATTAAAAACAGAAATCATGAACGGGTATATAAACCACCAGAAAATTATAGTGTCTTATTAAATTACATCAGGTTGTTTTCATAATTATTTGTTATACACCATAGCAAATCCAGTATCAATGGATTCTGCGGCTGATTTTACTTAAAATGCCGATAGAAACATAAAATTGACCAAAGTCAAAAGCATTTTTCTCCATACATGTACTTCAAACTCCTTAGCCGATCGATCAGTTGGTCAGCTGATCCTTCGTCCCGCCACGCCTTCATCTCGCCGCCCACTCGCTGACCTCAATGTGACCTCGGCGACAACACTAACAAAAAAAAAGGGACACAAACAATCACACTCAGCCACGCACACCAGTACAGGTACAAAACGATACAATAAAGAGAAAAAGATTGAAATTCAATGAATTTTCAAAGATTTTTTTTTTTCAAAAATCGAAACGTTTTTCACACGTTTACTTTACTTGTTTACTCATTGTTTTAGCGTTTTTGCTTTTGTTTTGTGTTGGTATTTTTTAAAAATTGTATAATTAGTTATAAAATGTAAGCATATGTATTTGTAATTTAAACAAAATTAAATTAGGAATTTATAACTGTAGGATTTGTTTTGTTGTAGTAGAGTACAAATTATACGAAGAACACTAAGCAATAAATCACCGAAAAATAAAGTAAAGTAGTTGTATTGTATATTGTAATTAAATGTATGTATTGTAAGTTGATTTGTTGTAAATAAACAAATTAAAAATTAGTGTATGGTACTTTAATAGAAAAAATTACTTCATATTTTATAATATATGTGTATGGTAAATGTATTAGCATATAATATGTATGTTTCTCATTTTGTTTTTGTTGTTTTTCATCATTCTTTTTGTAATAATAAATTGTAAAATCGCAATCATATAATCATCATTAAAATAGTTTACTTTCATCTTGTTTACACACAATGCACGCTTGTTTGGTGAGCGTGCAGAGTAGTTAAGAGTAAATATGTATAAGTAATTAAAGATATATATATGTTATGTTCATAATCAATTAAAGTTCTTCTCTTCCTTTCCTTTCTTTTCTTTTCTCTTTTCCTTTACTCATTCTCTTCCTTCCCTCCTCCTCTTCGCTCTGTTTCGATCCTGCTGTTCTTGTTGTTGGTACTAAA